CTTTTCTGTAAAAAGTAATTATTAATTCAAGGAGAATTTCATCAATGATATTTCTGACTTTAACTCTACCTAGCTCTGTCAGCTTATTAAATTTCATACTCAAAACTGGTGCTGCCTAAACATACTAAAGTTCAAATTCAAAATAAATGAAATTACATGATCATAAATACAAATAAGGTGTGTTAATTAATTTACAATTTGAAAAATCAAATTGACTTTTACAGATTGTCCAACTCATTATCTCATAACTCAAATTGTTTGAATTTTGGTAATTATTTTCTCTAAATAGCTGTCCAATTTGCGGATGGTCCATATTTTTTCATCTAGTATATCTATCGCCATTGTTGGTTTATTTTTAAAACTATAGTAAAGGAATAAAGTTCCTAAAATTTGTGTAAGAAGTTAAAGCTTGCATAGAATTCAGCAACGTTCATTTAAAAGAAAGATGACAATTACTCAGATTTCTATCAGGTTTAACTACAGAGGTTTTAGGAACTTCTGAATGTGAAAAATCAGAGTCATAATTTGTCACGATATGTTGCATGAAATTATACTGACCACGCATATCAGGAGCAACACACGTTGTGGCCAAAAATCAGTGACCAGTTTTTAATATAAGTACTAAGAGGAATTTTTCCAGATTATAAGAAATGAACGACTTCTCATTTTCATAAATTTTCAAAGCAATATTCCACATAAATTAGATGTTTGGTATAAATTTCAATGAAATACATAATAAATGTAATAAATATTTTATCTTAATATGGTGGGATGCTACCAAATGATGCACCGTGAAAATGCGGCTGGGCGTGCATTGACATGGCCACTTTGTACGATGGCCTTACATCAGGCGGAACATTTGGTCTCATCAAAGAATTTAAACCTACGGGATTACCACCAAATGTCTGTGCATGTCTAGATGGAATGTGATGTCCGCGCAATGATAAATGTTCTTCTACAGGAATGCCAGCATTACTGTGAAGGTGAGGCACATGTAAACCGGGATTGAGGGAGCTAGCGTCAACATGTCCGTTGCTCCCTGTATCACCAAAAATACTATTAAAACTGAAATTCGGGGAAATGTGCGGATGCGTTGACAGGCTCATATTCGATGGGATTTGAGGCCCTTTAGCCACATTGAAGCTTGGTGCATGATGATCTGGGAAAATAGGAAAGTTATGCTGCAGTGGATTCATTGATAAACTCGGTGCCCGGGGAGCAAACATTGGATTAAAATGACCTATATCAGTGTCTCTAGAAACTTTGTTTGGTTGATTAGACAGCAAGGTACTGGGCAAATGAGCAGGAAGGTAGGTTGGGTGTTCTGGATTACGAACCCGACGTGAAGGGGAAATGCTCGAACTGGTGCTTGATGATGTACTTGCAAGGTCACCATGTGATAGAAGTGTGCTATGGGATGGCTGCGAAGCAGAAAAGTTTGGTAAGAATGGTGAGGTTTCCGCCATTGCTCCGGGATTCCTCTGGGACGCAAGCGAATGCCACATATCATGTGAATGGTCATGCGACAAGGTAGATTCCGAACGATGTGTTTGCGAAGTAGGGTAGTATTGTGCCTGGTTGTTGCGTTTACGGTTCCGTGAAGAGATATGCCCTGTTTCAAGAGTTCTACTTGGCTGGGAAAAATTTTCAGCGGGATTATTATAATTTGGTGTGTTTCTATCCGAGTGATGTCGTTGATGTGCTACATTTGCATTACTTGTCGCCGTTGATAACCTTCCAGTTTCTTGTTGTGATACATGCCCTTCAACGGAGAGTGGAGTTCTAGGTAAACTATCAGGGGTGGGTACTCCCATGTGGTTGCGGGTACCCTGGTTAACAGAAGATGTCTCAACTCTTGGATGCCTCTTTGCAGAAATCTGGTCAGAGTGCTGATCGGATGCAGGTCTTTTCAGGTTGCTATGAGAAACCTGGTTATTCAAACTTGACTGTCTGCTATAAAAACCCTGGTTAGTTTGTGACAAATTCATACTTGATTCTCTGTCCATTGAAGAAATACTTTCAGATGTTCGATGTTGATAATTATCAAACCTTGGCGTGTCTATACGCATCTGCTGTGAATCGGTATGTGTTTGGAACATGTGACTAGATGAAACAGAACTGCTTGCACGGGATGAGTTTTCCTGAGGTGGGGAGTCATGCAATGATGGGAAATCCAACGCATTTGGATCAAAAATGTCAGTATGATCATCATTTTGGAGGGAATAATCAGTCTTGGAAGTGCTTGGCAACTTATTTTGTTGAGTGTAAGTGAAGTCAGCGCGTGAACTCTCAGAACTTTTCGATACAGATGGCTGAAAAGATAAAACTGTGCTCTGAATATGCTCACTGAAGCTTGTGGTCTGCTGACTCTGGGTTGGTGATTTAACACAACTGAAGTCCCTGCTTTGCTGCATGCAGTTCTGCGTCACTACAGAGGGCTGTTTACTTTGACTCTGCTCAATACCATGCTGCGCAACCGATGTCTGAGACTGTAATGAATTTGAGATTTCCTTTGGTTGTTTTGTCATGCGTCTGTTAGATGATGTCTGAAACATTGGTGCAGGTTCAGGTGTTGGAGAGAGGAAGTCCATATCAGGATCCGGCAGACTATCAACTGCTTCTTGATTTGAAGAACATGTATTCCCTCCTGAGAAACTTTGGGGTAAAGTTGAGAATGGATCATATGTGGATGTATTTGAGTTATTCTCTGTTGACTGTAAAGTGTTACAATTGTGAAGACTACTGGTGGTCATACTGTCTGAAAATGACGGTCTTGACACCTCTACAGGAGTGTAGCTAGAGCTGGTCCGTTGGTGAGAAGTGTACCTAGGGTATGTTGTATGGTTAGAAGTGATCACTGATGATGTACTTGAATAGGTTGGCTCATTAATTGGCTTTTGATTGCTTGGGTGTGACCTTGAAACATTCTCTGATGACACTGTAACAGATTCTTGTGTGTTCAACATTGCAAGTCTTGAAGTAGGGTTCCAGAAATGAGCTTTGTCAGATTCTGCATTTTGGTCTGATTCCTTTTCTTTAGCAGCAGTGGATTTAGAAACTGCTTCAATCTGCTTTGACATATCTTTTTTACTCGAGTGGTTATCTTTCAAACTTTTATCTCCTTTAACATTTGAACTCTGGCTTAATGTCTGTACACTGAAAGATGTCACATTTTTACTAGTCTGAGCAGTATTAACTTTCAGTGATTGTTCATGTACTTCATTCTCCTGACTTCCATTAGCACTTTCACCATCAGCCAACCATGGAAACTTATCCACTAAATCTTTATCTAATGCACGTTTTCCTACATTGGCCAATGATTCATTTACATTTGGAGAGGGGGGTTCCACAGGTGGATTCTTTTCAGTCGTTGCTTTCTTTTTCCGTCTGCTAGATTTTGCTTTTGGTTTTACAGATGTTGGTACTGACGGCCTGTCAGGAACTGCTGAGATAATCGGTCTGTCTGGCACTGAAATTGGTAAAGTGTGGTGCTTCTTTGGCTTTGGAACCTCTTGTGTCTGCTCTTCTACAATGTCCATTGTCAGTGTTCTGTGAATTGTCTCTTTAGTGAAGACTCTTGGTGCTGGTGAAATTTTACTTTCTGGAACTTTGGCCTGCCTAGATGGACTGCCTGTTACTTTAGTACTGTGTGTGATAACAGAACCATTGTTAACTATGGTTAACTGTTGTTGTGGTGATGTCAAATTTGGTGAACTTCTAGCTGTTGAGGATACAGGACTTGAGAATACACTCTGGGTAAATGCTAAGGTACTTGTTGTTGAGCTTGTTGATGTAGTTGTCAACCAAGGTTGTGAAAAGAAGCTAGGTCGGCTGGTTGGGCTCTGGGAGGTCACTGTAGTTGTGGTCGTTGAAAATGGTGTGTTTAAAGGTTGATTATTAGTTTGAGAACGTGCCTGTTGAGTAACTGATGCTAACTCTGAAGCTCTTGAATGATGACTAATCCATGATGATGGAAGTTTGGTTTGTGCAACTGATGATGGTGTGGGTGTAGAAACCAGCTTAGCTTCTTGCTCAGAAACTAGTGAGCTCTCAGAGTTTGATGGACTAAGAAATTCTGGTAAAATATTTTCTTGGTGACCCTGTAGAACTGAACTTTGTGACTGAGTATCTGAAACAGAATCTGCAATGTTTAAGAGATCTGACGTTGTCATGCCTTGAACTGGTGAATTAAAGGATGTACTCCTTGAAGGTGGTGACTTGCTCTTTCCTTTAACACTCCTAGATGAAATGAATTCTTCATGTCTATTGTCTAATGAAGCCTTGTTTGAGGGCTTGTATGGTGAAAAGAGACTGGTCTGTTGGTTTTGCTCATCTTCATTGATGTATGTCGGTAAACCACTTGCACTCATTGAATTACTTAATATATCATTCACAAAATTATTCGACCCTGTATATGATGGAAATGAAGAATTGCTTGGAGTTGATGATGTGCTAGACATTGAACTGGTCTCAGTCTGATGGGCGGCAGATGACTCAGAAACCATACCACTTAGCAAAGCCTCTGCCGAGTACCTAGATGCTGATGATTGACTATGAGACACAATTAGAGGTTGCTGGTAGTTCTGATTATCTTCTGATCTCAAGTCTGACTGTGTTTGTATTTCTGATGGCATATCTGCCATCTGTATTAAGTCTTGTGCAAGTCCTGCTTCACTAATATTTTGCTGTGGATTTGTTTCTTCCGAAACGGTAGAGTTCATTCGCTTTATCTTTTGCTTCTTCCGACTCTCCTTACGTTTTATTTTTACAGTAGATTCAGTAGATTTAGAAGGCACAATATTTTTTTCACTTGGCTCACTTTGGTCAACCTCTGACGACATCCACGAAGACTGTGACTCCATTAAGAGTGGTCTTTGATCCTCAACACTATTTGAGTTCATACTTGAGCAGCTTTCTTGAGGCATAATGTTTTTATCTTCAGTTTGTAACTGAATTATTGAATTACCATCTTGTTCACCATCAACAACATCTAATGGTCCGGGAGAGAAAATTGATGCTGCTGCCTTCGCCAGAATGTCTTGACTACTGCTATCAACATCATTAGACTTTTCACCACCAGAGTGACTTTCAGTCTCATTTATTCCAAGTTCTGCTGTTAATACTGAGAGTGGAGATAAAGGTGCATTTGTTACATCTGTCCTTGGAAGAGCTAAAGATTTGTGAGATTTCTGTAAATCTTGTGACTCAATTCCAGAATCTTGGTCCGAAATCTCTGATGATGCCATTATACTGGCAAGTGCATCCGGTTGGTCGCTTGTTTGTAAGAGTGTACTGCCACTGTGAGACTGTGGTTGACCAGCTGTTGAAGGTATTATAGTTGTGTTGCAATTATTCAAGATCGTTTCTTTTCCTTGAGAAACTAAAGTTATTTGTTGATTTGAACTGGTAGATACAATCTGAGTTTGACTGGCATTCAACTGCTGGGGTTGGCAAGAGTTGAATGAGCTTTGGTTTCCCTGCTGGGCCATAGTTGTTAGTTGAATCGGTCCACTTTGCGATGTTCCAATTTGTGGGGAGCCTTGAGTATTCCCGGTAGTAATAACTCCTGTCTGGTTGGCAATGATGTTTTGAACATTCTGGCCAGGAGTGGTATTGGCAGGAAGGTAAATTGGAATAAGTTGTCCACTCTGCTGTAAATAAACAAGGTTTTGAGCACCAGATGGGTTTTTCTGTCCTATTTGAATTGGAGCTTGTAAACGAACAATTCTTTGATTTCCAGCTGCAGTGAAGGTGGGTGCTTGTTGGACAACTGCAGCAGTAGAGTCTGTTAAAGTTTTTATCTTGCCGCTCTTTTTTTTCTTTACATTTGGTGGTTTTATCTCAGGTAAAGTTGTGGCAGTTGCTGGTGGGGCCGGTTGTATTCTGACCATTCCTGAGGTATTTTGTGTTGGTGGTGTCTGAGCAGGAGCCAGAGGCATGAGATTATTGGTGTGAGTTGTTGTTGTAGCCTGAGTTGTGCTAGATGCACCGGTACTGGCTGGAATTATCCTTAGAGGAAAAGTCTGTGTTTGACCATTCGGTAGACGAAAGGTTAACTGCTGTGTCATTGATGCTTGGCCAGTAGCTGTTGTCATAATTGGCACAATCAATCTTATTGGCTGCATTGGTTGCATAACCGGGTTACCAGGTGTTGATGGCTGGCCAGGTGTAGGTTGTTGCACCACTGCTGTTCTGTTTAAATTGTGTGGTATAGTTACAGGTTGTGGATTCTGTATAACATTCTTCACTTGTGTTTTTGACTGATCCACAACTTGATTTGTAAGAAGAATGTTTTGGTTTCCTGGCAACTGAATTGAGGTGGTTGTTGCATTTGTTTGCTTAATAGAGGCATTGTTACCTCTAGTCAGCTGAATTTGTGGAATAGGTTTATTTCCAGATACAGCAACGCCTTGATTCTGAATCCCAGATTGGAGCTGGATCTGATTTCCTGGTTGCAATATCTGAATACTTTGACCGCCAGCCGAAGATGGTGAATTAACATTTGCTACTTGCAATGTCACTGGCTGTGTTCCACCTGTTTGTGTCAGTTTGGGGTTGTTAAGCAATAACATTTGTCCTTGGTTATTAATTTTTGACTCTTCAGGTTTTACCTGAATCATATTTGAATTGACAATCGGGGCAGTTGATGAGGTTGTGCTGGTGTTTAACAGAATCTCATTGCCTAATGCAGAACCTCCATTATCAGTAGAGTTCAGAGTCTGCTGGTTTTGCACAATATTGCTTGGATGCGACAAATTTTGTGCTGTTATCAACCCAAGATCCTGATTGGTTACTGGCTGCGACAACTGTTCAAGGAGATTGCTGGTAACATTTTGGTTAGTAGTTGGAGTTGGCTCAAGGGTGATTTCTTGGTTTGCCAGAATCTGTTCCATCTCTAAGTTGAGCTTTGCAAGGTCATCAGAAAAGTCAGTAATCGGTTCAACTGGTTTTACAAACACTTGCTTCTGGCTATTCCTCGACTTCTTTGAACGAGATTTAATCTCTTGAATTCCATTTGAATTCACCTTTATATTATTAACCATTGAAGACATCCGTCGGTTTTCATCTATCAGGCGACTGTTTTCTTTCCTTAACCTTTCCAACTCCTCAACTGGTAAAAACAAAACAAAATTTGTCTTTATTAATTTTTTAAAATACTATAAAACTCGTAGCAGTGTTTCAAATAGCAAAGAATAGATAGTTACGTTCATGGTTCCATAGAATGGGGACTAGTGTCCGCTAGACTACAACGATAAAATATTATCTTATATAGAATGAATTTTTTTCCCTCTAATAATAACACAATCATAATTAAATTAAATGTTATAAAGAATTATAATACACTTAATATCAACGGTAATTTGTAGGAACAGTGGAACTTTGTTTACCTCTTGATTTCTCTGCTCCTTCAAGAAGCACTTTATGATATTTATCCTTCAGTTCCAAGATATACTCTAATGCGAGCTCAACTATTTGGGTTTTGCTCTACAAGATAAAATGATATAATCATTAGTATTTGTAACTGTACGACAAAAGTTCTTTATGATTAAGAATATTTTCAAAGTAAAATGCTATATAAAATGAGATATTACCATTAGTTTTTTTAATTGTACAACACAACCTCTTATGTTTAAGTGCATATTTTTCAAAGTAGGTAAGGCGAGACTTTTTTTTACAACTTGTTTTGTGAACTTATTTTTTTAAAGATCGGCAGAGGAGGGCGGAAAAAAAATTTAAATAAAATTTTGTTTTGTTTCTTATTAAGTAAATAGTTTTGCCACAAACATCCAGATAGAGGAGAAAAACAAAAAATCAAATTTTATTGGTGAACGGAGACAGTGTAGTAATGGGATGGTTAAATACTTAAAATTTCTATAATTAGAAAGAAATATATACATATCTTATTTTTTGAGATTTCAAAGCAGCAACTTTTTTTTTTCTTGCCCAAAAATGAAATTTCATTTTAAATCATCATTATTTGCGGGCAGTGGATTCGCTAAACAAGGTATAAAAAAATTCTTTTACTAAAATGATTTGGAAATAAGCAGACACAGACTACAAAATTCATGTATAATACTAAGTCCTGGTTCTCACGAGAGCCCTAGTATCCGGATCAGGAGCTAAATGTTAGCGCTAACCATTAGCACCTGTGTGAGAACGCCCGATCAGTTAACGCTAACGTTAGCAAGCGCTATCGGTTAGCAAGTTGACCGCGTTTTTATCATCAACCAATCACACGTACGCGTTTACAATTTTCAGTTTCTTATTGGCCAGTGATTCGATCATCATATTTTTGTATCCGGATCAGGATTTTCTCGTATGGACGCACGGCAGCTGATCATAGCGAGATCTCAAGTGACCAATGAGAAAATAAACACATGAACCATGAGAAGAAATGCAGTATTCAATTCTTTTAAATTACCAATTATTTATTTTCCAAATTTAAACACACTGTTTATTATTGCAATGTTTATTTTGTAGCATTGTTTTGGGACTGGTTGGGGAAAATATTTTATGAAAACTGCACAGGGAAAGTATTAATTTAAAGGGCACATACTGCAAGGGTCTAGTAAGTCAGTGATAAAGAGGGTGTTGGAAGGGATGACTGAAGAAAAATGGGTACGGGAAGACAACACATAACATGTTTAGATGACAAAGATGGAATGGAGAAAGATATCAACAAAACAAGAGAAAGGCCGAGGATAGAAGCAGTTGGAAGAAAGTCAACTGAATCAAATAAGTCACAAATTATTGATTCATATTTTACCTAGTGTTGCATGTCTTATGTCATTTTCTGATTGTTATTCAAAACCACAATGTAAATGAATGTTCTGGCAATGTACATGCAATCCAGATTTTTTTTTTAAAATCAATATAATAATTATATACTGGTAAACTAGTAATAATAGTGGCATGCCATACTCTATTGACAGTTATGTAATCAGTATCAAATTTGGGGTTAGTATTTGCAAACATTTTTTTTCCATATTTTTGAAATAAAGAACTAATGAAAATGAAATCCTATGTTAAAATCCATGATAGTAATCTACCCAACAGTAAAGGTCGAATTAACAGTAACCTAGTTTATTAATGCCAAGTTCATATTTAATTATTAAAACAGATTGAAATTTCTCTTATTTTCTACCTTTTAACATACAAAATATTTGATATTATTTATTATTATAGTTTTTAATATTTTACTAGCATGGTGGTAACAATAAAGTCTGTTCACCCGTAAGCCACTAATTATCTTCTCCCCGATACCCGAATTCTAAATAATATTATGCACATGAGCCAAAGATCTTATAAACACAAGATAGCGTTCTCCGCGATTTACGCGTAACAAATAGAAGCGTCGGTCAAGGTTCAAAAGTTTCCCATTTAGCAAGAGGGCGTCATTCATGCGCTATTACCGAAGAGAAAAAGTAATAAGTTTTGGAAGAGGGCGTCCTATCTGTTGCCATGGATCTGAGATGGTTCCTGTTTCTGCTGTCACAGGCGGTGTACTGTATGGTCAGATCAAAGCGGTCAAGGGTCAAAAGTTTCCAATTTAGCAAGAGGGCGCCATTCATGCCTTATTACAGAATTTGCACGCGTAAATCCCGGAGAACGCTATCTTGTGTTTATAAGATCTTTGACATGAGCCTTCACCAGGACCACTGCTCAAACACCCCTATCTAGCTTGCAATATCAGCCCTCAAACTGAAGCATAAGAAATTGAATTGGTCACTGACCGAAAAAACGTATTGGTTCAGTGGATACTGAGTGTCTACTGCCAGTTAAATCAACTGACCTATGCTGCTCTTGAAATTATATAGTTTTGTAAAACTGGGACTGAGGTTCCTATACAAGCATTGTTACATAATTTGTATGCTTTTTAAAAACACAATTATTCACAGTAGATTTTTCTGTTTACATATCTATTTTGTATACAGTATAATTAAATTTATTTATTTATTTATACATTATTTTATCAACGATTCCAAACAAGTCCAATCCCATATTTGGGCGATATATTAATTTAAAATTAAACTTAGGCCTACAGTAGACCTTTCCCTCTGACTTAGTGTTATTCCTCCTCCCTTTGATGTGCCATTTTTTTTTCTTACTTATTAATTACAACCTCCTCCAACTGTTTTCTTGCATTTTGATGTACTGTACAGTATATATTGCTTTTTTAATGATTTCTGAATATTCCATCAATTTTTTATGTCAATTTCTGTATTATTTTTCTTTTAAATTTTGTGCTGCTTTTTACATGTTACCTTTGTACATTCATATGCAATTCCTGTCTCTTA